TGATGCAGTTCAAGGACCTCAGCAAGCAGAGAAGGCAGTCAGCAGAAAATACTTGGCCAAATCAACTCCCTTAAATTAAATCACTGTTGGGAAAATGAACAACACTGCCAGAGCAAGGAAAGCTCTGGGGAAAGCTGGGGAAAAAGAATAGATGGGATCACCGCACATCTGGCTTAAATCTGCATAGACTGGCATGGAGTTGAAACCTCTACACCTTTTCCATGAGGATGTCGTGGGGTAAATTGAGTACTAAGACTGCTGAACTCCACTGTCTTTCTCCTGCTCACCTGTGTGCCTAAGAGGACCAACACTTTTTGCCATTAATTCACTTACAAAATCACAGAGTGGCTCAGCTTACAGCAGCAGAGCCATCAAATATATCTCCAAGTGCTCTAGCAGTACTCAGGGAGAAGTATGGCACAGCAAATACAATTTAAGTGCAGCTTTCCTGCAAGATCACTCACGTTGCTGGCCACCAGACGTAGCTGTGCACTGCACAACTGCTCTCCCTGCTCAAATCTGGCACTTGAGTGCGTTCCTCTTTAAAAGGAAGGATATGTCACACAGCCTCTGGACAGAGGAGCACCACATGCAAAGAGAGAGGCTTTCTCAAGCAACAGTTTCTGATATCTCCAACTCTGCAGTAGCAGAACAGTAGTGTGTGGGCAGAAAGTAGGCTTCAATTTCTCTTGCTCAGTTTCCTTACGGTGTTTCAGCAATGTTTAGGCTGCTAAATCACACCATTTTTGGAAAACAACTGAAAGCATTAGACAGAAGACCCCAAAAAAGGAAAGTAATAATTGGCAGTGTCTTCTCAGTAGATAGACCACCAGGCAGCCTGCTAAAGACATGATATATGTCCCACAGCATATATGTGATTTTCCCTCTCTTCTGTAGAGGCAAGAAAACAGATGTATATCACTCTCAAAAAATTGAGATGCATCAACCACCAACACAACAAGAGAGATGATCTCTTCCTTGGAGGCAAATAGGACCAGCCCAAGCTGATAACAGGATTCTGAGTATACATGGAGATGTCTTTGGTATTTTCTCTAGCAGTGGGGTACCGCACTGATACAAAACAGCTTCCAGGGTGATCATCCCATCACTAGAAAGGTGACATTTCTGAAGAAGCTGAATGACACTGGTATTATTCAGCAGGGACAGATGCCTCTCTCTCTCATCGTGGTATCATAAGACAGTGCTAAAAAAAGTGAAAGAATTGTTGAAAGTTCTGTGCCATAGTTAACAGCAAGGAAAATCCATCACCACAAGTCCGAGCGGCTGCTACAGCATGTCCACCAGCTGTCGGTCCCCTGACACTAACAAAACAGGACAAAAGCGCCCTTATCTGGGTTAAGGAGATTTGGCCTAGACTGAAAAAGTAAAACACCACAGAAAGACCACGCTGCACCCAAAACCTTCTGTCTTCTTCCCAAGCATACGCACCACTGTGCCTTTCACACAGCACAGCCTTCACAATTTGGATTAGGATGATGCAGCATATACATTGAATTATGCCAGAAAACCTCAGAATTTCTTCATTGCATTGTCCTGAAGCAACTATTCATGTCAGTACACCACTAACTGCCGTAGTAACACAGCTCAGTTCTCTCCAGCCGAGTACTTGGTCCTGCAGTAATTATGCTCTTCAGAAGGATATTCCACCCACTCCTATGCTGAAGAGCTAATTTAGCTCCACGCACAAAATGCCAAGTTAAAACTTAAACAAGTTTCAAATCTCTCCTGTTGGTATGGCAATACAACTACAGGCTAAACTGGCTCCAGTACAAGTAAATAACTTCAAACTGTGTTTTCCTGAACAAGGCTGCTCTAATATTTTGACAAACTGATTTTTTTGTTTGTTTGTTTTCTAGCGCTCTGGTAGCCAACTGTAAAAGGTCACTCTGTCTTCCCCCTGACAAGTTCAGTATTATTCTTCCATTCTCAGAGAAGGTCAAAAATATATAATATCTGCATGTTCAGTATCTAAACATTGCACCTATCTAATACTACACTGCAGCTATTAGGAAGCATTCAGAAATCCAGCTACAAAAACAGGCTACTGAAAACAACTCTCATTTCCCACGAAGGACCATTTCCAGCCCACCATGAGCGCACATTATTACTTTTGTACAGAACTACAAAGAGATAAACTTGCTGCAAAGTATTTCACCTGCAGAGATGCACAACATACATGTGCAAAAGATTATCCTTTTGTGAACTGCAGCGTCACGTGATATTGTTCTAGCATGATGAATAAATTTCATTCACAGATTCACAGAATCATTCAGGTTGGAAAAGATCTCTAAGATCATCAAGTCCAACCGTCAACCCAACACCACCATGCCCACTAAACCATGTCCCAAAGTCCCACATCCAGATGTTTTTTGAACCCTTCCAGTGATGGTGACTCCACCATCTCCCTGGGCAGCCTCTGCCAACGTTTGACCACTCAGTAAAGAATCACAGTCTGCAGGAATTGCATCATTTCCCTGATGCACCCCGCCACGAACCAACTTCCTCCAAATATTCATCCTCCCCCAACAGGAGGCACATTTAAATAAACACTTTTAAAACTGAGTTTTCAGCTTCACCTGAAATATCTCCTCTCAAAAAAATATCCTTATTGGATAAAACAGGATGGAAATAATTTAGTCTTGGGATCAGAGGTTTTCTTACACTGTAAGGTAAAAAACTTTTCATTCACACCAATGAAACTAATGCATAAAAAATCCACAAGATTTTGAACAAAGACACAGAAGATTTCCTCCTTTCCACGTCAGTCAGTGCTAATCTCTTATCCTAAACCAGCAAGAGATTATGGATCTTAAAATGCTACTTTTCTGGATTGAAAAAGCTCTTTTGGAAGCTTTTCTGACTCTCTCTGACACCCATGCTGTCAGGCTGTCCTGGTTTTGGCTGGGATAGAGTTAATTTTCTTCCTAGTAGCTGGTGGTGTGCTGTGTTTTGGACTTGGGATGAAAATAATGTTGTTACCACTCTGACAGTTTTAGTTGTTGCTAAGCAGTCAAGGACTGTTCAGCTCCATGCTGCCCTGCCAGCGAGGAGGCTGGGGGTATAGGAAGCTGGGAGGGGACACAGCTGACCCCAACTGGCCAAAGGGGCATTCCATACCAGCCGACACCATGCTCAGTATATAGACTGGGGGGGTTGAGCGGGGCAAGATGCTGCTCAGGAACTAGCTGGGCATCGGTCAGTGGCTGGTGAGCAATTGCATTGTGCATCATTTATTTTGTATATTCTTTTCATCATTATTATTATTTTCTGTTCATTTTCTGTCCTATTAAACTGTCTTTATTTCAACAGACAAATTTTACTTTTTCCCCCCCGAGGGAGGGGCTGTGTCGTGTTCAGCTGCCTGCTGGGTTAAGCCACAGCACAGGCCAATGGCAACAAAACCTTTACAAGTGGGTTTTTAGTACATATTATACAGAAAGCTTGGTCAAATATTTTCTCCCCAACACAGCAAGCACATTCTCTCTATATATCTGTGCACACCTATGCATGCTTCTCTATAGAAGTTTTATCAATGTTGGTTTGGAATAGCCAGTATAACTCACTCCCAATTTCACCACTCACGAGGAATGAAGCCACCACAAACTCTCACTGACAAGGGAATTATCAGTGATCATTACCTGCCCTGTCATTCTGCTTCACCGAAGATAAAATCTTGGAGGATTCTTACTCCCAAGACTTCGTCCACTTACAGCAAAGTGTGCAGAACTCAAAGCTCTTAAAGTTTTTCTAGACCTCATGGATGACAGTAAGATGGCTGCAGACAGCCTATGCCAAGCCCTTTCCTCATGTCCATCCGTTCAATTCTTCTCTTTAATGGAGCCAGACAGCTTCAATTCTATGACATTCTTTTGCTTAGAAAACCCATCATTAACCTCTGGCTGAACATTACCAACCAAATTTTTGCAAGAACATTGAAGGAAAGTGAAAAATTGTATCATGGAGAAAACTGAGAAAGACTTCTTCAACAAAAATACTAGCTCCTCTGGAAAGACAAGTAAGTGGGTAAGGAGACAGTAGACATGATCAAAGGCCCACACCTTACATCCACCACATCCAAGAAGTATCTAAATTCACACCATGCACACAGTTGGCTGTGTTTGTGTAAGCAAAAAAACCCCAACTGTGTGTATCACTGCACAGTCAAACAAACCTTTAGAGCAACAGATAAACAGACCTAGGCCCTACGGTGAAAAACTGTGTTAGACTAGGAGGCAGAGAGCATTTTTCATTAACAGGCCAGAGGTGGAATGACCATCATAAATCTTGCCCCTCTTGTAAATAATGCCAGGCTCATTTCTTTGACCTCCTCCACCAAATACTGCGTGAGGTGTTCATCTGTGTACTATACATAAAGGCAATTCCAAAATAAATAAATTAAAAAAATCTAATGTGCATGTGTTAGCCTCTCAGCAAGAACGAGAGAACAGACATGTGACAGATGATAGCTCTGCTGCTTTTGAGTCTCAGATACTAAGGTGACAGGCATGGTACCAGAATAAAGCCTAAGCAAGGTACAGCTTTAGTATGCTACAGTTAAGAAAAAGAATCAAATAAGAATTCCCTGAAAACATGCTGGCAGCAAGTGTCTCAGCTGACTATAACCAAGCTATAATGACAAGAGAAGACAAGCGATTAGAGCTGTGACACTTTATAAGACAGGCATGACATGGTAACACAGAACAAAAATGTCACTGTTTGAAAGCTTCTGATAAATCACTTGGTAAGCAAAAGGAATCAACCGTTCCATACACCATAAGGATGAATCCACACTTTTTTTTTTTTTTTTTGCTGCTATTTAAGCTCTCTGGAGTTCAACAGGCTGTTATAAATGTGGACACTTACCAAAAATCAAGACAAATTCCAGTACAGCTGCCTCTTGAGTATGACAGATATTCTCTGGTATTCAGGTTATAAAAGCTTTTCCAACGTGAAAATGTACCCACCTGAAGGATTCTTACCTGCAAGACATCTTGAATCTTCACCCACACATCAACCATGTCATAGAGCTTGATATCACCATCGTACTGGCTGCAAGGCGAGGCCACTGTTTGCTGAAGGTGTCCAAGGACAACAGAGTGCGCAGCAGCCACCGCGTTGAATTTGTCAAAAAGAAGCTCTAGCAGCTCCAGCAGTAACCTGTAAACCATCAAGACAATCTCCATTCAGTTTCCAGAAGACACCAGAGGCACGCTGTCACGCAACACATCAGAGCAGCGGGCCAGAAGTCAGAAGACTGTGACTTCATACCCTGTTTTGTGACACATGTTGCGTGCAAGCAGGGAGGTCATCTAGCTTCAAACCCTCTCTGGGCTTCAGGTGACAAACTTAAGCTATTAGCAGCCAAGGTCTGGTACCTAAATACTTCTGAGGATATTCCTTTTCACTCTCTCCTCTACCAGAGTTGCTCACCTTTAACGTGTTGTACTTGGGTGTATAGGATAGAGAGTGTAATTAGTAGTTACACAGCAACTATACTTCAGTACCATAATATTAGAGGACATTTTAAGTTCCCAGACAGAGCTGCACACAGGGAGGGAGACTACCTGCTTTTTCCCCAGAACTAGGAGTATAAATTCAATAAAAATTGACTTACCCATACAAATGGAATACAAGATACTTACTTGGAATTATGAAACGAGTAGCATGAAAGGTTTTAAACAACAAAAAAAATCAGAAACCTAAATTATGAAGCCTCATCAACTGTGTCAGTTATCAAGATTTTCCTACAATATGGAAGGTGGTACGGCTATAACCTTATTTAATTGTACTACACTTTATCTTGCTCCTATGGCTTCCTTACTGCCCAATTATTGTAATTGATGTACCACTGCAAAGTCCTGAATATTTTGTGATAAGGCAATGACTCATCACGTCTTTTATTATTTGGGAAAAGAAAAATTCTGATCAAGTTCGCTGTCGTTTAATGAGCAATTGAAGTACACATGTAACCCCAACAAAATGTGAAGATAACACTTCCCAAATCCATATGTTAGGCACTTTCTAGCTCTGACAGACAGTCTCCATCACATTTAACTGCAGCAGCTTAAGAGTTAGCACATGCTTTCTGTGTCTACCCATCAGAAGTTCTATCCCCAGAGCAGGACAGACAATCTGCAGCAGAATCGGAGCTGCACCCACTCTTTAACCACCACACTTTAGTCTTCTGTCTTAGTTCGCAATCACTAATAAGGCATGCGTTCATGCCTTGGCCACTTCATTTCAGAATGCTGAATATCTGTATACATCCACTTTCAGCAGCGGTTTAAGCCAGCAGCTGGATAGTTAACTGGTGTAATTAAGAAGCTGTTGCACATTTGCTGCTGTTATCACCAGACAGTAAGAGTAGCTGGGCATGATGTTGTGGCTAACACCATCTACCTTACTAACTCACCTAACTTCTAGTCTGCAAAGGAGAGAAGCTGGCTATTGCTTTAAAAAAAAAAAAGTATCAGCTTACTGTGTTGCATTCATATAGTAAAATTTTACATTTATAGATATATACGCACAGCATTATACTGCAGTCTCTTGGGGTTCTCACATGGGTCATGAAACTAACAATGACGTCAACTACACAGCTCAACTGGTTAAGCAGAAGAGCACCTTGATTCAACAGAAAAAGCCATCAGATAAGTCTGAGAGGAGAGTGAGGCACAGCAGAACAGGTCAAGTGACCAGATTTGTGTCATATTAAAAACGAAGATGTGTTTAGGAATCAAGGTACTCATAAGAAACACAGAGACATTAATATTGCCATACCTTAAGTGACTATAGAAATAAGACACATATTTAAGCAATCAAAAAGAAACTGATCAGTATATCAATTTTCTCCATATTTAAGAATAGCAACAAATGCCTAAAAAAAAGTGTTGTTGGTACGAAGAGATAAAACACTGCTTTTTTTACAGGTCTTTACAAATTTAAATAAGACCCTGACGGGGTTTAACAGAAGTATACAGGACATGATGGTAAAGACAACACCAGAAAAGACAGCTATTATCGATACTAACATTATTACATTTTCAATATAGGAACGTCCAATGTGGAAGAAAAGCCATTCTCCTCCATTTAGGCTTTGTATAAAGCTTAATGACTACCCTTTCCAAGTGAAAATGAGAAGCTGCTCCTGTGGGAAGACCTATACATCTGCCTCGTTCCCTAACTACTGTTAGCCCATCACCAATGTTATCAGTGAAGGAGACAGGACAATATGCAGATGAGGCTGCCTGAAAAACACTCTCTATTGCTGTTAAGCAGGTATCAAGGAGGGCCACAAAAATGCTCTGAGGGTTGAACAGCTCTGCTGTGAGGACAGGCTGAGAGAGTTGGGGTTGTTCAGCCTGGAGGAGAAAAGGCTCTGGGGAGACCTTCGTGCAAGTCTTCCAGGACTTAAAGGGGGCTTGGAAGAAAAATGGGGACAGACTTTTTAGCAGGGCATGTTGCGATAGGACACGGACTGATGGTTTAAAACTAGGAGAGGGCAGATTCAGACTAGATCTAAGGAAGACATTTTTGACAATGAGGGTGGTGAAACACTGGCCCAGGTTGCCCAGAGAGGTGGTAGATGCCCTATTCCTGGCAACATCCCAGGTCAGGTTGGACGGGGCTCTGAAGAACCTGGTCTAGTTGAAAATGTCCCTGCTCACTGCAGGGGGGTTGGACTAGATGACCTTGAAAGGTCCCTTCCAACCCAAACTATTCTATGATCTTCTCCAACCCACTCTAAGGCATGGGAGAGGCAACTATTGCTTCTACAACCCCTAAGAGATATATAGAACTTCTTATAGCAAGTGACAGAGGCAGCTGGGTAAAGTGGCTGGTCAGCCAGAAGCCAGACAAAAACAGGAGGAAAAACAGATGTAAAAGAAATGTGGATAAATGAGGAATCTCATGTTGGAGGAACTTACAACCTTGGTTGAAATGCCAAAAAAGATAACATTACGGGAGCAAATTAATTATATACCACTGAGAAAAATTACCACTGCAAGCCCAACTTCTACTAACATCCCATTATAAATGAAAATGTAGTTACCTCTATACCTTCTTTTTGCCCCAGGAAGGTACAATTTTGCAGAACCAAACTAGCTGGGGAGTTTGACAAATTCATTTTTATTGTCCCTAGGTGAGCCAGACCTCACATTATCAACTTGCTTATGGAGCTATTACTGAAATAATATTATAGGTCTTTTCCAACCTTAATGATTCTGTAATATTATACTGAACAGAATTATTTGGTTTTCCATTCCAGTGTCTCCCTGTTCTCATGTTACAGACTCATAGACATGAAATCTCACCCGTCTCTGTTCTTCGGTGGCGCTAACTACCACCCCATTATATTTTCCATTCTTAATCACATCATATTGCCCCATCTCCCTATTTTCAAATTAGCCCGCGCCTATTAGCTCTATTTTCTTTTTTTCTAAAAGTCTTCCAAATCTGTCAGGTCATTTTTGAAACAAGGTGACCGAAAAGAGACACAGGCACATTCCGTGCCAGACAGCCAACAAGACAAAACGGCATAAAATAATATGGCCTAGATTTTATGCATATGGGGTTGCAGCACTGAGTGACCCAAGCGGAACACACACAGAGGATGACAGGAGACCGACTTAGGCAATTTGTCAAAGCAATCTCATAAGCCTTTGTCCTGGTTTCAGCCAGGGTAGAGTTAATTTTCTTCACAGAAGCTAGCGTGAGGCTATGTTTTGAATTTGGGATGAGAAAATGTTGATAAGGTGCTGATGTTTTGAGCTGTTGCTGAGTAGTCAAGGACAGTCCAGCTTCTCGTGCTGGCCTGCAGCGAGCAGGCTGGGGGTGCACGGGAAGCTGGGAGGGGACACAGCTGGGACAGCTGACCCAGGCTGGCCAAAGGGATATTCCATACCATATAACGTCATGCTCAGTATATAAAGCTGGGACGAAGAAGAAGGAAGGGGTGGAGGGA